TAGTTCATCATCAAGGTCTTACCATCAACCCATAACTCAACCCAATTTGGGAAGTAACATCATCACACTATGATAACCAATAAGATAACAAGGCCAATTGCATCTCTATAACACAATTTAAAACTAGATCATCACCTAAGATAAGATACATAGGCTAATTTCATAATACAATTAATAACCTAAATCTCATCCCAAGAACTAGAATGATAGGCCTATAATTCATCCTAATTAAATCATAATAATACCATAGGATAGTAATCTAAGCTGCAACAAAATCAATTGAATGATCACAATACAATATAAATCCATATCACAATCTAGCGTTAAGCATGGAGGATCATGTTATTAAATTTAGACCAAACCATCAACAATTACCATAAACGAGTTAAAATTCATTTTAATCTACTAATTATAACCTAAAGAAATCATTGACAACTCAATTCATAGCTTCAATTTCGTAATTGAATGAAACCCATAAGAAAACTAAACTTTTGAAATCTACTTTGAAGGAATCCTTTGAGGAAAGAGTCTCAAAGGTTAATTAGATCACATACCTTAACATTTGACAACAATTTGATGGTGAATTAGTCCCTTTAAATCCCCCAAATCCTTATCCTTACTAGTCTTCAATGGTGAATTCAAGTAGAGAGAGAAAGAAGAAAGAAGGAAGAGAGTTTATTTGAGAGTTTTGTATAGATTAATGAGGGTGGGGGTATTTATATTGGGACTTAATCAACTTAATTAGACTACCTTAAACCCCTAATGAATAACCTAACCCCCTAACTAATTAAATGAAACTAACTTAAATTGTGCAAGAAATTTGACTCTCACTAACAAGACCTCGAACGACGGGCCGTCTGTGAGTCAATGGTCCCTCACCCCTTCGTCCTGGACTTAGAGTATGTGAAGGAGGATGCCTTTCTCAACTTTTGTAAGTATGGTAAGACGATGGCATCGACACCCCGTCAGTCCACACACGGACCGTAGGTGGTCACGTCGATGCCCACTGTCCAGGCCTTGTTTTTTCAAACACAAGGGTCCTCCTCAAGGGCCCTTGGTTAGGACCTTGGGAGTCGTATGCGGAAGTTTCAAACATGAAACAAGTCAAATACATATTAGTTACCTTTCAACAAAGAAAAGTTAGTCAAATAGGCTAAGGCACACTAACATCCCTTTGATCCAACTTCGCGAACATGATGGACGTTCTTGGAAGTGTTGGCTATTAAACCTCCAAAATGTCCTATATCAATTAAAATAGACTTATAGAGCGTACTTAGACCTTATGACACCTATGTTATGATTTACGACACATCTTGGATTTTTAAGGTGTTACATTTAAGTAGCTAGATCAAGGGTTCTCTTGAGGTCCTTTAATAGTCTTTGAGTGATGGTACCACCTAGGGTGTAGGGTCGAGGAGTGAAAATATTGGTATTAAAGCATAGAGTTCAATAATCCTAGGCCATGTATAAATCCGTGTTAGGAGATTCTCAGTTATTCGTGTGAAGCGCGCAACATCTATGATTAGGAGGTTGCAACATTCAAAATGTTTCACTTCTTTCGTCTTGTTTCGTGCGATGGGTTTATCTCTAAAAGTATCCCTATAATTCATGTGTACAAATATTTTCAAATCATCATTCCTCCAAAAAGAGTAGTCGTCCACGACAAAATGTAGAGGAACAAGAGGTTCCAGATGTACAGGAGACACAACCTCAGGGAGAGGTAAGCAATGTTGAATTCTAGGAAGCTATCCGGATGTTGAGTTAGGTTGTGACAAACCAAGACCCGCAGTAGCGAGGAGAAATACAGGAAGGGGTTGATACTTTGAAAATTCATGAGTTCCTTAGGATGAATCCCCCTAGTTTCACTGGATGAAATACTATTGAAGATCCGGAGAATTTCATAGAGGAGTTGAAGAAAGTGTATGAAGTAATGCATGTGGTCGATCCTGAGAGGGTTAAATATGCTGCATATTAAATGAAAGGTGTGGCTAGAACATGGTTCGATCAATGGAAGGATGGAAGGTATAAAGATGCACCATATCCAAGTTGGGTTTGCTTCGAGGAAGGCTTCTTGGGAAGTTCTTTCCTCGTGAACTGAAGGAAGCCGAGGTGAGGGAGATCCTTACTCTCCAATTGGACTTCATGAGTTTTCATGAATATGGGTTGAAGTTCACCGAGGTATCTCACTATGCTCTGGAGATGGGGAAAGACATGAGGAGTAGAATGAGTTTGTTTGTTGCAGGGTTGGGTTTTTCTTCAAGCAAGGAAGGTAGGGGGACCATATTGATCATGGATATATCAAGGCTGATGGTATACGTTAATCAAGTTGAAGAAAAGAATATAAAGGATAGAGAAGAGTACCAAAACAAGAAGGCGGAGACTGAAATGAGTCTGGCCAACAAAAATGTGGTTCTAGCCGACCACAATTCCAAAATGCAAAGGGGCATGCTCCATCATCTTCCAGTGCACCTACACTCAGAAAGAAAGGCGAGTATAGTGGTCGTAACTCGCAGAACTCCAATGCTAAAGTGTCCCAATCTCAAGGTAGTGTGGCACAAAGGGGCAATGGGAGTTCCACGTAGATGTGATTGAATCCATCATGACAAGTGTTGTGATGGCCAGACATGATGTTTCAAATGTGTTCAATAGGGTCAATATATGAGAGAATACCCCAATAATAAGAAAGGTGGTGAAAATCCAGGCAACAAAGCCCAATTTTCATCAGTTTCTCCCCCAAACAGGGTTGCACCTAGTGGAGTTGCTTCTTGTACCGGCGGAGGGGAAAATCGCCTCTATGCAATCACAAGCCTCTAAAAGCAAGAGAACTCTCAACATGTTGTCACGGGTATGATCAAAGTCTTTACTTTTGATTTTTATGTTTATTAGGCCCAGGAGCAATTTTATTGTTTGTAACTCCTTATGTTGCAAATTAATTTGAAAATCTCCCTATAAAACTTTGTGAACCTTTCTGTTTTTATACACCTGTTGGGCAAGCTTAAAGAGTTTATCATGATTGTCCTATTTCCACCAATCACAAGAGTACCATGGCTGATTTAATAGAGTTAGACATGGCAGAATTTGATGTTATATCAACTGGCTCCATGCATGTTATGCATCAATAGATTGCAGAACTCGAGTTGTCAGGTTTGAGATTCAATATGATCCATTCATAGAATGGGCTAGTAGTTTAGCAATGCCTAAGGGTCGTTTCATTTCATACCTTAAGGCGAGGGGAAGTCTATTTCTAAGGGATGTATCTATCACTTAGTCCAAGTTAATGACCAAGTGTTGACGTACCTTCCCTTCATACAGTTCCTATAGTCACTAAGTTTCCAGATGTTTTTCCAGATGATCTACCCGGAGTCCCTCATAAAATAGAGATAGACTTTTGAGTAGACATCCTCCCAGATACTCGTCCCATCTCTATTTCTCCATACAGAACGGCACCAGCAGAGTTAAATGACCAGTTCAAAGATCTATTAGATAAAGGCTTTATTTTACCAAGTGTCTCACCTTCGGGTGTTCCAATCTTGTTTATTATGAAGAAGGATGGGTCCCTAAGAATGTGTATAAACTACCGACAATTGAAAAAGGTGACCGTCAAGAACAAATATCCTCTTCCAAGGATAGATGATCTCTTCGATCACCTCAAGGTGCTTCTTGCTTTACTACAATTTACCTTAGATCAGGCTATCATCAGTTGAGAGTTAGGGAATGTGATATTTTTCGAAACAGCTTTTAGAACAATGTATGGGCATTATGAATTTATGGTTATGTATTTTGGTTTGACTAATACATACGCATCATTCATAGATCTTATGAACCGAGTCTTTAAACCTTTTTTTGATCTGTTTGCCATTATTTTCATTAATGACATACTGATTTATTCAAGGAATAAAGAAGATCATGCTAGTCAGCTAAGGGTTGTTCTTCAGACTTTGAGAGATAAGAAGTTGTATGCCAAGTTCTCCAAGTGCGAGTTTTGGCTTAAGTCTGTGGCGTTCCTAGGCCACATTATTTCTTGTGAAGGTATTAAAGTCAACACTCAGACAAATAAAAGTAGTTCAGATTGGCCTAAACCCACATCTTCTATAGATATATAGGAGTTTCTTGGTCTTGGATAGGTATTATAAATGATTTATTGAAGGATTCTCATCAATCTCTTCTCCTTTGACCAAGTTAACTTAGAAGACAGTCAAGTTTCAATGGTCTGAAGCTTGTGAGAAAAGATTTTAGGAGTTGAAAAAGAGATTGACTACCGCTCCGGTTTTGATCTTACCATAGGGTACTCAAGGCTTGGTGGTGTATTGTGATGCATGGTTTTGTGTTAATGCAGAAGGGCAAGGTCATAACTTATGCTTTCAGGCGGTGAAAGTTCATGAGATGAATTATCCTACTCATGACATAGAATTAGCAGCAATAGTGTTTGCGTTGAACATATGGCGTCATTATTTATATGGTGTTCGTGTGGATATATTCACTGATCACAACAGCCTCCAATATGTGTTCACTCTAGAAGATCTCAATCTCAGACAGAGAAGGTGGTTTGAATTACTCAAAGATTATGACATGAGTATTCTTTACCACCCAAGTAAGGCTAATGTGGTTATTGATGCCTTAAACAGGTTGTCCATGGAAAGTAATTTTCATATCAAATATGAAAAGAGAAAGTTAGCAAAATATGCGCATAGACTTGCACGTTGAGGAGTGAGACTTATGGACTCAACAGAAGGAGGCATAGTTGTAAGCAATGGGGTCGAATCATCCTTGGTGTCACAAGTGAAAGAGAAGAAAGACCAAAACCCTATTTTGCTTGATATGAAGGCAAGTTTCCATAGCAAAAGAATATTGGTTTGCGAACAAGGGGAGATGGTGTAATGAAATACCATGGTAGATTATGTGTACCTAAGATGGATGTACCTCAAGAGAGGATCTTGGAGGAGGCTCATAGATCCAGATATTCCATTCATCCGTGTTCCACCAAAATGTAACGTGATTTGAGAGAGGTATATTGGTGGGAAGGCATGAAGAGAGACATTTTTTAATTTGCTTATAAGTTTTCAAATTGTCAGCAAGTGAAAATAAAACACCAATGGCCTGGAGATATAGCTCAAAATATAGAGCATCTGGAATGGAAGTGGGAAAATATTGATATTCACTTCATCATAGGCTTGTCAAGATCGTGAAGGCAACATGATTTCATTTGGGTGATTGTCGATAGAATGACAAAGTCAGCCCATTTCTAGTCGGTAAAAACTACCTATTTGGGTGAGGATTATACAAAAGTTTCACCTTCCGGAAGTGGTATGAATTCATGGAGTCTCGATCTCCATTATTTCAAATAGAGGTAGACAATTTACTGTACAATTCTAGAAATCATTATTGAAAGGTTTGGGTTCCAAGTTGAATTTGAGAAATGTTTTTCATCCTTAGACCGATGGACAGCAAAGCACACTATCCATACCTTAGAAGATATGTTTAGAGCTTTTTTAATTGACTTCAAGGGAAATTGATATGATCACCTACCTCTCATTGATCTTTCTTACAACAATAGTTATCATTCGAGCTTCCAAATGGCTCTATATGAAGCTCTTTATGTGAGAAGATGCAGATCTCCTATTGGGTGTTTTGAGGTTGCCGAAGCAGGGTTGATAGGACCAGATTTAGTTCACCAAGCTATAGAGAAGGTGAAAGTGATTCAAGAAAGAATGAAGACTGCACAAAGTCGCCAAACGTCCTATATAGATTTCAGAAGAAGGCCAGTAGAGTTTGAGGTAGATGATTGGGTGTATATTAAGGTGTAACCTATGAAAGGAGTTATGAGGTTTGGTAAGAAGGGGAAACTGATCCTCTAGTATATTGGACCTTATAGAATCTCCAAAAGAGTGGGCAATGTGGCTTATGAGTTGGAGCTACCCTAAGAGTTAGAAGTGATTCATCTGGTATTTCATATATCTTGTTGAAAAAGTTTTTGGGTTATCCTTCATTGATAATAACAACAGAGAATGTAGGGATTAAGGACAACTTATCCTATGAAGAAGTTCCAGTTCGGATTTTGGATCGGTAATTTTGCAAGTTGAGAACAAAAGAAGTTGATTTAGTCAAGAACCTTTGGAGGAACCAATTTGTTGAAGAAGCGACTTCGGAAGCAGAGGAGGGTATCAAGAAGAGATATCCACAACTCTTTGAATATGTAAAGGAGGAAAATCAAGGTACTAAACTCTCTTCTTAACACTTTATAAGGTTATGTATAAGCATGTAATACTTGATTGTATTGTTGAGTGCCAAAATGAAATTACTATCCTTAGCTTAGACAAAAATTCTCATTTGAGGAAGAATGTTCTCAAGGGGGAGATATTTTAACATATCGTATTCTAGAAAGACTAAAATTAAGCTAAGAAAAGCAAGGAGAAACATATTTGGAAAAAATGGGAAAACCTGGAAAAATTTCAAGATTTCAAAAAGTGGATTTTGGCCATTTTCAAACGACCATTACTTCTAGCTCAAGAGGAGTTTGGGTTATTTATAATTATGGAAAGCTCGTTGAAAAATTTTTCCAACGACACCAAGTTTGTGAATTTTGGAGGTTGTCTGACTGAGATATGATCTTAGGAAGATGGGTTGTTGAGCAGGGAAAGTTCCAAACTCGGATTTAGTAAGTTGTTTTGGTGTTTCCTTAAGTCAATTAATTATTCTGTTTTGGAGTAATATGTTGGGATCTAAACTGATCCCATTCAGTTTATGTACTTAGAAAAATAGAGTAGGGTTTTGAAAGCAAGAAGAAAAGAGGAGAAGGAAAAAGAATACGCGAGAACACCAAGTTTAGCTTCATGGATTTTTGTTTGGGGTTGATTTCTAACAAGGTATGTGGGCTCTTTTGTGGTTGGTTACTTCACCCACACACCAATTTCATTCAAATTACTTAAATTCATGAATTAACTCATGTTAGAGGTTGGAAGCTTACAAGAAAGTTTCACGTTCTTATTGATTGAATTGTTCTTGATCGTTGTTAGTTCTAATCCATGGTTTAGGACTATTTTCAATTCTAAATCATTGGGTAATAAGTTAATTAGGGATCTTAATTTTTTGGGGTGGGATCCATGGGAGTTTTGGAAGGTTTATAGCAAAACGAAGAAGGAAGTCAGAAAACACGTTGGGTGGATGCTGGGGCGCCGCGCCTCCATAGACCCTCAAAACAGAGTTTGTCCTTCAGGATCTGGTGTGTCGCACCTCTCAAAGCGCCTGAGGACAACCTCTATTTGTCAGGCTATGGCGCTCCGCACCTCTCAGATCTCTAGGACCCCTTGAAGACCATGTTCTTATTTCCCTATCTTTTCAGACTAGTTCCTAAGTGATGCACCCTAATTCCTAGTTTTTTCCAACAATGTAAGGTACATCTAAACATCATGAAATCATCCTTAAACATGATATCATGATCCGTGAATCCATAATTCTATTCAAGAAAGTAAGTTCAAAGACAAAGAAGTTAAGAAACAATTGTAGAAGTTAAGAAGCAAGGCAAGGTAAAGTTTTCAAAATTCTTTCACAAATGTTTTCACTTTATTTTAAAGACTTAAAGTTAAAGTCAAGTAAAGAGTTGAGTTCATTTCTCAAAAGCTATAAGGGAACTATGCCTTAAGAGTTAAAGTCTCAAGTTAAGCAAAGGAAAAGAGTTGAGTTCATTTCTCAAAAGCTATAAGCGAACTAAATATTCCCTAAAAGTTAAAGCTTCAAGTTAAGTAAAGAACAAGAGTTGAGTTCATTTCTCAAAAAGATATAAGGGAAATAATTATTCCCTAGAGGCTTACAAATGT